GAAATGGTCATTGCCGGGAACATGAGTGATGCGAATGTTGCTTGCTACTTATTAACCTAAGGCTAGAATTTTTGCTTCATTAGATATGGACTGAGGAGTTGAGTGGTTCTGAACATTGTGTAATCAGCAACAAATGTCCCCACCTCTGACTTCATGGAGGGAAACTTATTGATGAAGTAGCTGAAGATGGCTGGTGACCTTTTATTGTTTCTAAAGCAACCCCCAATCCTCAGTGTTACTAATATTTGTTCCAACTTTACAAGTTTCTTCTTAGAGTGCAGAAGAAAATTGGTGAGAATGGTTCCAGTGATGAGGAACATCAAATAGAATGGGGATGTGGGACTATTTTTCTTGAAGAGAAGGTTGACAGGAGATTTGATCGAGGTATTCCAAGACATGAGGGCTCTGGACAATGTAGGTGGGGAAAAGCCTGTTCAATCTGGTGGGACGGTTGGAAAAAAAGGCATAGATTTAAGATAATTGTCAAAAAAATGGAATGGAGACAGGGGAAAAATATCTTTGATAATTTCCTTGGACCTGATTTGAATGCACTGTAGGATATTAAAAGAAGTTACATTGATCGTAATCTTAGGATGGTCCTTAAATTCTGAAAAAGCCCCAGAGGATTCAAAACTGTCAATGTAACATCTTTCTTTAAAAAGGAAAGGGGTCAAAAAAAAATCAGGTAATTATAGATCACTTAAAAATACCTCATTTGAGCAAGCTGAGTCACCATGGCTTCGCAAAGTAGAAATTGTGTCTGGCAAATTTATTAGAGTTGTTTGAGGTAAAGGGAAGTAGTGGATATAATTTCTTTGGAGTTTTAGAAGGTGTTTGACAAGATATTGTACATTGGGCTTAAGAGTCCATGGTGTTGGAGGTAGTATTAGCATAGATAGAGGACTGGCTAACTACTGGAAGATCTGATGAAATGTCACTGATCTTAAAATGTTAACTCTGCATTCCTCACATAAATACAGCCAACCCAGCTGAGTTTCTCCAGCAATTTCTGTTTTTGTGTCAGATCTTCAGCATCCGTAGTTTTTTTTTTCAAAATAGTAGAAAGCTGAGGTGGTATAGGGGATGCATTATCAGGATAGCAGCCTGTAACAAGTGGAGTTCTACAGTGATCAGTACTAGGCCACAATTATTTACAATGGATATTAATGAGGAATAATAGATGAGGAAAGTGAATGTAGTATAGCAATGTTTGGGAATGGCCGTAGTAGGTGAGAAGGTAAATGGTGCAGAGGGCACAGTCTGCAGAGAGATATAGGCTGGTTAAGCGTGTGTGCAAAACCTTATGAGCTGCTGCACCTTAGCAGGAAGAATAGAGGAGGTGAATATTTTTTAATTGGAGAAAGACTGTGGAAAGCTCCAGCAACAAGGGATTTGGAACTCCTCGCACGTAAATTCAGGTAATAAATAGAATGTTGGCCTTTTATTTCAAAGGGAATTCACTATAAATAATGAAATCTTGCTCAAATTATACAAGGAACTACTTACATCACACCTAGAATACTGCAAACAATTTTGTTCCCCTTACCTAAAGAAAGATCATGGAATAATACAGTACAGAAGAGGCTTATTGAAACCGTACCACCGAAAATCCACTAAGTTTGCACTAATCCTACTTTCTGGCACTAGGCCCATATTCAAGAATGTTAAGACACTTCACATGCACATCCAAGTACTTTTTCAAAGGTTGTGAGGTTACCTGCCTCAACTGCTCTCCCCAGGCTAAGCATTCCAGACCCCTCCCATCCTCTGGGTGAAACGTTCTTCCTTGTAAATCTCTTGCCTATCACCTTAAAAGTATGTCCCCTTGTTACTGAGCCTTCAATTAAGGGGAAACAGCTGCTCTTCTATCCACCTTGTCCACATCCATTGTAATCTCATACACTTCAATCAGGTTCCTCCCCTCACATCCCTCCTCCAAAGAAAACAACAGCTCATCCAGCCCATCTTTATGGCCAAACTGCTTCATCCCAGGCAATATCCTGGTGACTCTCCACTGCACCCCCTCCAGTGCAATCACACCCTTCCCATAGTGCGTTGACCGCAACTGTGACCAGTACTCTAACTGTAGCATGGGAACAGTTTTTAAAAAAAAGTCCAGAATGATGATAAGTGACTAAGTATTTAAGTTCCAGTCCATGCCCACTGGCCCCAGAGCACAAGGCCATGCTGCCTCCATGTGCTGGCTTCCATCCAGGGCTTACTTGACGTTGCTTGGCAACTGGCCGTTCGCTTTGCTGCGGGGCTCGGCCCATGCTTGATGCGCTCCTTGACTCCAGTCTCCAGGTAGGGCAGAATGGGTGGAGAAGGAAAGAAAAGCAGTAAAAAGGAGATTTAAAAAAAGAAAAGTGAAAGGACTGGCAAGCAGAGGAGCTCCAACTGGAGTGTCCTACCCTGCTGCCATCTTGCATTATATTGCTGTAATTGCTGTCTGGACTGTCCAGAGAAGATTTATTAGGTTGATCCTGGAGATAACTGACATATGAGGAGAGTTTGAGTTGGTTGGGCTTGCAGTCATTGGAGCTTAGAAGAATGAGAGGTGACTTTAGTAAAATGTACAAGATTCTTAAGGAACTTAACAGGACAGAAGCAAAAATGTTGTTTACCTTGCGGGAGAGTTTAAAATCAAAGGACTCAATCTCAAGAAATGTTGGCCATTTAAGGTAGAGATGAGGAATTTCTTCTCTGACAGTGAATCTGTGGCATTCTGCACTGCAGAGAGCTGTATCAGCAGGTTTGTTAAGTACATTCAAGGCTGAGAGATTTTTAATCAGTGAGGAAATTGAGGATTATGGCGGAAAAGACAGGAAAGTAGAGTTGGAGAATGAGATGAGCCGTGACCTCATTGAATGGTAGAGCAAACTTGATAGCTGCCTACTTTAGCTTTTGACCCTACATCCTGTGGAATGCAGGAGGCATTGGGATCTGCCGTGCATTGCCTGAAGCTGTGTTGGAGATAGATCCAATTCTTAAGTACCTTGAGTGAATCTATTTTCTGGAAAGAATGAATGTGCAGGGATACAGGAAGGAAGGAAAGGGGAGAATTTCACTCAGTAATTTGCTTTTTGGAGAGTTGGACAGACGTGACTGGCCCAATAGCCGCCTCGTTATATTGTAATTGTTTCCTGATTCTGCTTTTGACCTAATACTATTACCTTAATCTCCATAATAAGCCACAGCTGGATTTTTCTGGCTGGACTTTTATTTTTCAACCGAATGTAGTTTTGTTAAACATTTGAATTGTTTTAGGTTTCCGACTGTTTATTAACTGCTATAGCTTTTAGCCTATATACTCGATCATGTGGACCTCTCCTGATAACTGTGTCATTCGGTATGTACCATGGAGCCATTAGGTTAGATGAGGGCAAAGAGGTAGGTTTTAAGGAGCATCTTAAAGTGAGAAAGATGAGCAGAGAGATAATAGGAGTGACTACCAGAACTTGAGGCTGGGGCATTTTTGATTCTTCTCAATGATGTGGCATTCTGTGTTTATTGCCCTTCCAAGTCTTCCTCAAGAAGATGGTGATGAGCTGCCACTTTGTACTGTAGAGGGTGGCACAGTTGCTTTGTGGTTAGCACTGCTGTCTCACGTCGACAGGGGCGCGGGTTCGATTCTACCCTCGGGCAACTATTTGTGTGGAGCTTGCACGTTCTCCCTGTGACTCGGGGCACCTAGAGGAAACCCACTGGTTACCTCCAACAGTCCAAAGATGTACAGGCTGGGTGGATTAACTGTGGGAGATGCAAAGTTATGGGGAAAGGGCAGGGTTGAGTTTTGGTGGAATGCTCATTAGAGGGTTGGTGCGGACATGGGCTGAATGGCCTGTTTCCACACTGTAGGGATTCTGTGATTCGGTGTTTGTAGATGCACAATACTGTTGGCAAGCGAGTTTTTTGACCCAGTGACTCGAAGAAACGGCGGTATATTTCCAAGTCAGAATGTTGTGAGGTTTTAAGGGAACTTGCAAGTGGTAGTGTTCCCATGTATCTGCATTTCTACAGTGCATCTTGAAGATGATACACACTATTGCTGCTATGGGGCGTTGTTAGTGGAAGGACTGAATGGTGGTGGTGCCAGTCACGTACACTTCTTTGTCTTGGATGGTGTCAAGCTGCTTGTGTGTTGTGGGGGCTGCACTCAGCCAGCCAAATGATTCTATCACATGCCTGATATCCGCCTAGTAAATAGTGAACAAGCTTTTGGGAATCAGAAGGTGTATTATCTGCTGTGACCTGGACTTAGAGCCACATTACTTATATGGTTGGTACAGTTCAGTTTGTGGTCATTGGTAAGTTCCAGAATATTGGCTTATGATTGACATGTATGTGTGGAACCGCAGGAGATGGGCAAGGTCCTCAATGAATATTTCTTATGTGTTTACTGTGGAGAAAGACGTGAAGACATGGAAACTTGGGGAAGTTAGTGACGATATCTTGGGGACAGTCCATATCACTGTAGAAGTGGTGTTGGAAGTATTAGAATGTATGAAAGTGAATGAATCTCCTCGTCCTGATCAGATTTTTAAAAAATCATTCACGGGATGAGGTGTCGCTGGCCAGGCAGCATTTATTGCCCATCCCTAATTGCCCAGAGGGCAGTTCAGAGTCAACCACATTGCTATGGGTCTGGAGTCACATGTAGGCCAGATTAGGTAAGCATAGCAGTTTCCTTCCCTAAAGGACGTTAGTGAACCAGATAGGTTTTTCCAGCAATCAACAATGGATTCATGGTCATCATTAGATTCTTAATTCCAGATATTTATAGAATTCAAACTCCACCATCTGCTGTGGTGGGATTCAAACCCGAAACGTTATCTGGGTCTCTGGATTAACAGCCCAGCCATGATACCACTAGGTCATTGCCTCCCCCTGAATATGTTGTCGTGCCCCCCCCGCCCCCACACGAATATATCGTTGAACCCTGCAAGAGGCTAGAGAAGAAATTGTGGGGGGCCTGGCTGATATATTTGTATCATTTTTAGCCACGGGTGAGGTCCTGGAAGACTGGAGTAGTGATGTTACGCCCTCATGCAAGACGGGCTGCAAAGAAAATCCTGGGAATTATAGACCAGTAAGCTTAACATCTGTGGTAGGTAAGTTACTTGAGAAGATTCTGAGGAATAAGATATACATGCATTTAGATTAAGGTTTGATTAGGAGTATTCAGCACGGCTTCGTGCATGCGAGATCATGCCTCACAAATTTGTTAGTTTTTTGAAGTGCCCAGGAAGGTGGTTGAGGGCAGGGTGGTAGACATCTATATGGATTTCAGTGAGGCCTTTGATAAGGTTCCACATGGTAGGCTGCTCTGGAAGGTTAGATCACATAGAATGCAGGGAGAGCTGGCAAATTGGATACGCAATTGGCTTGATGGTAGGAAGCAGAGAGTAATAGTGGAAGGATGATTGTCGGACTGGAGGCCTGAGACTAGTGGTGTGCCTTAGGAGTTGGTACTGGGCCCATTGCTGTTTGTTATCTATATCAATGATTTGGATGAGAATGTACGAGATTTTAGTAGGTTTGCAGATGACACCAAAATAGGCGGTATCATGAACAGTGAGGAAGGTTATCATAAATTGCAACAGAATCTTGATCAGCTAGGGAAGTGGGCCGAGAAATGGTAAATGGAGTTTAATATAGATAAGTTATTGCATTTTGAAAAGTCAAATCAAGGTAGGGCTTTAAGGAACGTAGTGGAAGAGAGGGACCTTGGAGTTCTCTGCAAGTGGAGTCACCGGTCGACAGGACAGTGAAGAAGGCTTCTGGCACACTGGCCTTCATCAGTCAGGGCATTGAGTACAGACTTTGGGAAGGTATGTTGCTGTTGTACAGTATGTTGGTGAGGCTGCACTTGGAGTATTGTGTTCAGTTTTGGTCACCTTGCCATAGGAAGGATGTTATTAAACTGGAAAGAGTGCAGAAGGAATTTACAAGGATGTTGGCAGGACTCAAGGGACTGAGTTAGCAGTAGAAGTTGGACAAGCGAGGACTTTTTTCTTTACAGTGTAGGAGACTGAGGGGGGATCTTATAGAAATGTATAAGATCATGAGAGGCATGGATAGAGTGAATGCAGTCAATCTTTTTCCCAGGGTTGGGGAATCAAGGACTAGATGGCGTCAGTTTAAGGTAAGAGAAAGAATACATGGGAACCTGAGGGGCACCTTTTTTTAACACTGAGGGTGATACATATATGCAATGAGCTGCTAGCAAAAGTGTTTGAGATGGATGCATTAATAACATTTAAAAGGCATTTGGATGACTACATGGTTAGGAAAATTTAGAAGGATATGGCCCTTGTGCTGGGAAGTGGCGTTTGCGTGGATGGACATTTTGGTCAGCATGGACCAATTTTGGCCGAAGGGCTTATCTCTGAGCTGTAGGACTCTGGCATCCTGTGAATGGCTGCCCCCAGTAGAGTGATCAGTAGTTGGGAATGTTCAAGAGGCCAGAATTTGGAAGACTGGTGTGGGAGTGTGAGGAGGGATCATTGTACATATTGAATTGATGTTGTGGTTTTGGATAATGTTGCCAAGGGATGGTATAAAAATGGAAGGAATAAAATGGATTTGTGGGTTGTGGGGGAGGGACTTGAAATAAAGGTAGAGGATACTGATTTGCTATTACTCCTCATCTTGACCCTTTTTTTGTTTTTTTCATTTGTCCCACTACCATTCCTTTCTTGCCTTGCACCATCAATCTTTCTGCCACTGAAAGACTTTTCATTTTTTTTAAGCCACTTTTCCCTGTTTGAGAACTTGCTTAAAGCCAGTTACTTCTCTAATTTTTTTTCCAGGTCTGATGAGAGATCATTGATCTGAAACATTAACCCTTCTTTCTTCACTGACGCTGACAGTCTTGCTGAATCTTTTCAGCATTATCTGTGTTTTTAATATTTTCAACATCTTTGGTATTCTGGTTTTGGGGAATTTTCATTCATTTGCATCCACAGCAAAACCAACTAAAGAGATTTTCTTCATTTTCAGATAAACACAGCTCTCATAAAAATGGGAAGAAAAGTGACGGACCCTCTGGAAGTTCGTTCTTCACATGGTTCATGATAATTGCTTTATTGGGTGTCTGGTCATCAGTAGCTGTCGTTTGGTTTGATTTGGTGGATTACAAAGAGGTTTTGGGTAAGTTTTTCAATTTCAGTTTTCAGACCATTGAAGGAAGTTCTTTTAGACCTCCCTTGACTCCATCATTGTCACTAAATTATCAGAGCGAGGTGCACCATATCCAGCCCTGCATGCATCATAATATCCCAATTTAAAAATTGGCAAGTTTAAAGCCATTTCTTCATTACTGCTGTTAACTTCATCCCTCTCCCTGGTTACAGTTGGAGGTTGAACAATATTTGTCCCCAAGGTGAGCCTCCCACCATAAATCCCCATCATGGTTAAGGCTATACACCCTGTAACTTGTACTATGTCTGCCCCTGCGCCCTCTCCTACTGAAATCTTCATCCATGCCTTTTATTTAATCCCTGTACATGTGACTATTACACTGTACATCTGGCTGTTCTCCTTCGTTCCATTCTTTAAACCAGAAGTCATCAAAGCTGTTTGACTGCGTCCTTCCTTGCATAAAGCACTGTTTAATCCCCTTCTTGTTACACCTTGATTTTAAAACACTCATCTTTGTTTTCAATTATCTCCATGGCTTTATCTCTACTTATCTCCTGTTATCTTCTCCAATCCCACAAACCTCCGATATCTGCACTCTAATTCTGACCTTTTGAGCCTCCCTGATTTTTATAATTGATGCGTATGCTTTCAGCTGCCAATAACCTAAGCTTTGGAATTTCCTTCCCAAGCCCTCCAGCTATGTACCTCTTTTTGTCCTTAAGATGCTGCTTGAAATCTACCTCATTAACGAAGCTTTGGGCCGTCTGCCCTATTACTACCATATATGTTTTGGTTTTGGACGTTGCTTGATGAAGTGCTGTAGGACTATTTTTAGTACTTTAAAGGTGCAAAACAAAAAGTGGTTTGTGGCTTGGGTCTGGGTTAACTTTTTTTGTGTGTATAACCGTACTAATCTGGAATATGTTTGAAATGTTTACTTTTATTATGCATGCAGCTAAAGCAAAGGATTTTCGTTATAATTTTTCACAGGTATTACAAGGTAGGACTTTCCCTGTTCTTGCATGCTATTTTATTTCTGCTATCTTGAAATCTCCCTTGTACATCCGATTTTCTATTGAAACCTACAATATTAACCTTTCTTCTTCTATCTTGGGATTTGCAATACACATTGATTCATGTTTCATTTGCTTTATGTTATAGTTTGTAGAATCACTTTTTCTATTACACAATATTGAATATGGGAAAGTAGCATAAATGCGCACTATTTTTAACATCAACTTTCAGAAATGGCCCCAGTATGTTTTAGTTCTTGTCTGATCCCCTAATGAGATAATAGTGGCAATGTTATTTCTCCTGAATAATTGCATTTGTAATTCGATGTTCTGCTAAATTAAGGTTAAAGTCAGTTTTATTTGGAGGGGTGCTGGCATAAAACCTACTTGAAAATGAATGTTATTCTGAGAAAGTGATAATACAAAACTTATTGCAATCATTTTGGTTTGCAGTATAGCAGTTAATTTCAGTTACAGTTCTAGTGCATTTTTTAAAACAAAATCCACAATACAAAATATTTGTTACTTTGTGTGCTATTTTGCATTAAATTTTTCTAGTCAAAGTGAGCTACATGCGATTTCAAAAATGTTTTGGCTGTCTAGATATTTTCAATTCTGCCGTTTGATAATATATCTAACAATGCTGACGTAAAAATAACACGAAAATTTATACTGGTGAAATCATTCTCTTTCCTGTTCTTTCAACCCAAATCCATATACCTTACCCATAGCGAATAAGACATAACTTGAATTACTGAGGAATATCTAAAATGACTACCTTTTGGTTTGGTTTGGACTTCCGTTTTATATTTTAATGACATTGATTGGTTGAGTATAGGAGTTAGGAGGTCATGTTGCGGCTGTACAGGACATTGTTTAGATCACTTTTATAATAGTGTGTTCAATTCTGGTCTCCCTGCTGTAGGAAACTTGAAAAGGTTCAGAAAAGACTTACAAGCATGTTGCCAGGGTTGTCGGGTTAGAGCTATAGGGAGAGGCTGAATTGCTACGGCTATGCTCCCTGGAGCGTTCGAGGCTGAGACGTGACCTTATAGATGTTTATAAAATCATGAGGCCCATGGATAGGGTGAACAGCCAAGGTCTTTTCCCCAGGGTGGGGGAGTCCCTAACTAGAGGGCATAGGTTTAAGGTGAGAGGAACAAGATTTAAGAGACCTGAGGCCCAACCTTTTTGCGCTGAGGGTAGTGCATATATGGAACAGGCTGCCAGAGGAAGTGATGGAGGTTGGTACAATGACAACCTTTAAAAGGCCTCTGGATGTGTATATAAATAGGAAGGGTTTGGAGGATATGGACCAAATGCTGGGAAATGGGACTAGATTCATTTAGGATATCTGGTCAGCATGGACGAGTTGCTGTACTATGATTCTATATATGACTCTGTCAAAGAACCAGCTATTAGGTTAGGAAGCCTAATGCTGTTTTGAAAGAATGCAGAGGAGGAATGGGTGGTACATAATATTGTTGGTACTGGATGGAATAAGTATGATCAGAATACGTAGAATCCATGTGGGTGGAGGTTAAGAAATAGTAAGGGAATGAAGACACTGTTAGGCATAGTCTCTAGTACCCCTAAACGTAGCTATATGGTGGGACAGAGAATAAATCAAGAGATAATAAGAGCATGTAACAAAAGGCATTAATCAGGCATGACTTGAATCCTCATGTAGTTTAGTCAGATTGGTAGAGGAAGCCATGAGGAAGAATTAATCGAGTGTATTCAGGATAGTTTTCTAGAACAGTATATTGTGGATCCAAACAGATCAGGCTATTTTAGATCTGGTGATATACAATGAGGCAGGTTTAATAAATGATATCAGAGTAAAAGATCCCTACGGAATCAATTACTGTACCGTGGCAGAATTTAGCATATGGTTTGAGAGAGACAAACTTGGGTTGAAAATAACTATGCTAAGCTTAAACAGGGGCACCTACAAAGATATGAGAGCAGACCTGGCTAGAATGGACTTTGAAAGGAATTTAGCATAAAGACACAGACAGTTGAGGCACAATGGTAGATGTTTAAGAAAATAGTTAATGGCTTATGGCAAAGATATATTCTAGTGAGGAAAAAGGATACCAGAAAAAGGATAAGCCAACCATGGAAGTTAAGGAATTCTGGGGAAAAAACAAATTGATGGTGAAACTCAGCTGGTCTGGCAGCATCCCTGGGAAGAAAGCAGAGTTAACATTTCAAACCCAGTTACTCTTCAGAACTGGAGTTTTACCGGCAATTTTGTTTCAGATCTCGAGCATTCGCAGTTCCTTTGTTTTCTTAAGTATCAAATTGAAAGAAAAAAAGTAATTGTGGTATAGTTTAGTAGTAAACTGGGGGATTGGGAATGTTTTAAAAACTATCAAAAGATGACTAGAAGGGAAATAAACAAAAAATAAGCTTTGCTCGTAACCTTACAAGTAATATCAAAGGAGACATCAAGAGCCCCTGTATAATGTCATGGACCAGACCAAACACCCTCAAAATGTATTAAGAAAATAGCCTCGAGCCCAACTTATTCTTACTTTAGAAGGCAAGCATAAAGTACGTCCGGAATGCATTTTGATTGGTCATACTATCAGGCTTAAGCAAAACATACTACTTATACTACAGGTGTAACACAGACAAAATACCAAATTTTTAAAAAACTTAACTGTAACTTTATCAAAATACTTAAAATAATATATATGTTAACTACCACTGATTAGATGTTCCAAGATAGTAACATCGCATAAACACGCCCTTGGCAGAGGCAAATTCAGTAAAATAGATTGTCTCACATAGTGTTTCTCTAGTCTAGGAGGAAAGAACATGAAGAGAAAACTGCAAGGGAGAGAGAACTCAAGCATTTTGCTGTAGCACGGAGAGATGTACAGCAGCTTCCAAACCTCAACTGTACTGAAAGCTATGCTAAAGTCCTGGTTCTGTGGGATCTTAACCCCACCTGAACATGCTGTGTTCCAGCTTTAAAACAAAAACACCCAAAGCCTCACAAGCTGTTTAACTTTATTAACTTGGAACAGACTGATTGGGACCTCTGTCTCAACTTCTCTCTTTTAAAAGAAACATGAGGACAAAATACACCTCTTAAAGGTATAGTGTTGTCACACCGTCCCCACCCCCCCTTAAAGAAACAGTCATAAATATTCAAATGGCTTCATTTTTTATAAACCTTCAGTCTAATGCTGTTAGACTACAATACATGTACATCACGTTAACTCTAAGCATGCAAACATTCAGTTCCCTCCCACCTAACTGCCCCTCCCTCCTCACTGACCAACCCCCATTCCAACTCCCTACCTACACTCACCTGTACTGGCTTCATGTCCGCCTCCTTAACCTGTCCATCTTCTCTCCACCTATCTGCTCCTCTATCCACCTTCTATTATCGCCTCCCCCTCTCTCTCTATTTATTTCAGAGACCCTTCCCCTCCTCCATTTCTGAAGAAGGGTCCAGACCCGAAACGTCAGCTTTCCTGCTCCTCTGATGCTGCCTGGCCTGCTGTGTTCAACCAGCTCCACACCTTGTTATCTCAGATTCCAGCATCGGCAGTTCCTACTATTTCTCCGTTCTATAGTCCATTTTTTCTGCCTGAGCAGCTGTCTTCACTCATCAAAGTTGTGACAACGCATTGGCAGTTATGTTCTCTCGTCCTGAAATGTGTATAATTTTCAAATTGAATGGCTGCAATAAGTAGTATGGAATTTTTAATCATAAATTTTTCCAAATACTTTAAGATGTTGTGATCTGTATGTACAATTGTCTCAGGCACATTACTGGATATTCAAATGTTGAAATGTTGCGATGCCAACACCAAACTCATGGTTTCCTCTCAATGCAGGAATATTTCTGTTAATGAATATTCAACTTTCTGGAAAAATATTCAATAGGTCTTTCTATTCTGTCATTGTCATCTTCTAAGACTTATAGCACTGACACCCACCCCATGCTCGTTGATAGCCACTTTGAATGGCTTTGTG